ACCATGGAAACCCAACGACTACACCAGAGAATGATGGCAATGCATGATGAAGAAACTGGGGTATCGGCAGTCCATTGCAACTCTCCCTCTCCCCAGTCGTTGCAACACTTGCACCACTGGATCGGGAAAAGGGAGAGCCAAGATGTGTGGATGCAGCCTACGCTCCTGCCTCACCACATAAATCACCTCAGGCACAGCCATCATCCAGCTCATCATACCTCTCATCATCATCAAAATCCCTTTACTCCCCAAAGTCACATGGCGACGGACAAGAGGCGACGGAACAGGCAGAGATGACTGCCGGGAGTCTCTAGTCACAACTCTGCACATGGGCGGCACAGATAAGGTGGTCGTTTATGCACTGAGACCAAGGCAGCAGTGCAATCTGGTACTGCCTGTGCGACTGAGCAGTCCTTTCGAGGAGCCACTCTAATGACCCCACACGGGGAGGGGGCTAGAAAAGATGCCCTAAACATAGCCTGCCTAAAGAATCAACATGACTGGGCAACACACAATCATAATCACAGATCAAAGTAAAAAGAAACTATACAACTTATTATGGTCACTGCATGGAATGTCAGGACCCTTCTGGACACTGACACAAATGATCATTCTGAAAGAAGAACTGCCCTTGTGGCAAAAGAGCTGGCTAGGTATAACATAGACATAGCAGCCATCAGTGAGTCCCGGCTCCCAGACGAGGGTCGACTTACAGAACAGGGGTATGGCTATACCTTCTTCTGGAAGGGTAAGCCTGCAGTAGACAAAAACCACATTTATGGAGTTGGCTTTGCCATCTACCAATCCATCCTACATAGACTAACTGAAATGCCTGTTCGGATCGACAGGCGCCTCATGACGCTCTGAGTCCCACTGAAACACTCATGTCATGCCTTCTTCATCAGTGCATACGCCCCAATACTGGATGCAGAGGAGGACATCAAGGAGGTCCTTACACCGAACTCGACAGAGTGCAAACCTCTATCTCCAGAGAAGATATGGTTGTGCTCCTTGGTGACTTCAATGTCAGAGATGGAAGACTTGCTGATATATGGCAGGAAACCATAGGGAGAAATGGACTAGGCAAGTGTAATCCCAACGGCCTACTCCTCCTCAGCAAGTGTGCTGCACACAACCTCACTATCACCAATACCTTGTTTAGGCAGGCCGACAAGTTCAAAGGTTCGTGGACACACCCACGATCCAAACACTGGCATCTCATTGACTACATCATTGTCAGAGAAAGAGATCGCCGAGATGTCCTCACCACCCAGGCCATGCGTGGCCCAGACCACTGTGACACTGATCATCGGCTCGTCAGAGCCAAGCTCTCACTTCACGTCGCCCAAAAACGGCGAAGGCAACAAACCTCCGGAAGTGGTTTTAACACTGAGTGTCTGGAGGATCCAGCGGTAGCACATGCCTTTAGAGAGCAGCTCTAACATTAGCTGACAAACAACCCGACAACAAACAACCCAAATCCCAGTGCTGAATGGGATATTCTCGACACTGTCAAGACAAAAACCTCCAGAGACCCTCGGCCAGATCGAAAGAATACACCAGGACTGGTTTGATGAATAGGACCCGGAAATCAGCATACCAATCGATGACAAACATGCTGCTTTAACTGACTGGCAGAACAACCCTCAGTTCGAACCAAAGCTGATATCTTCCATAAGAAGAAATGGCGGCCCCAGGAGAACTTTGCAATCTAAAGAACGAATGGTTGAAAAATAAAGCTCGCAAAACGCAAAACCTTGCATATCACCACAAGATGCGCGAAGTTTTCAACTCCACTAAAACATTTTATGGGCTAATCACTTATGGCGAGCCCCTCCGTTCATCCTACGGTAACCCCTCCAAAAGCGAAGAAGGCATGTTTAAGCCGCTGAAAGAGCACTAGCATTCGCTACTCAACCAAAACACCGTTGTGGATGTCCTGACTACCCAGGAGGTCCCTCAGCATCCAGAGCTGACCCACCTAAGCTATCCCTCATCCCTGGATGCGGTAGCTACTACCATCAAACAGATGAAAAATAACAAAGCCTCTGGGCCTGATGGAATCCAGCCGAGGTGTATAAGGCAGGAGGACCTCTGCTTACCAGCCGGCTCCACTCTCTCCTGGAGAATATATGAGAAAAGGAGGAAATCCCCAAACTCTTAAAGACGCCTCCATCGTCAGTATCTATAAGAACAAGGGAGACCGGTCAGACTTTGGCAACTACCGCGGGATCTCGCTGCTGTCCGTAGCTGGCACATTATAGCTTGAGTCCTCCTAAACAGACTTCTTCCTGAGGCGGAATTCTGCCTCCCAGAATCTCAATGTAGCCGGTGGGGTGGACAACCAGTGCTGGATGAAGGGACTTTTAAACATAAGGCGACTCCAGGAAGGAACAA